TGTTACGGAGTTATCGCTTAAAATAGTAGTGACATCACACTGGACATTGAGTTCTGCTACGCCATCAATTAATTTTTTCTTATTTATATCGATAAGCAAGTTGCATTAGTGAAGAAAGTCAGCTCTTAAAATATCTTTTGTGACATCAGCAATTATAAATGGAAACTGGAAATCACAAAGTAATCCTAAATCAAGAGTTAGCATTTTTATGCCATAAGTGGAAATATCTGCGCCATTAGCTGCATACAGTTTGTATTCAGTTTTACATTTATTCTGTGAAGTGGGAAGAATTATGCTTATGTCAACTCCACTATTAACAAGAAAGTGCAAATTTGATCCAGGTCTGTAGAGTCGGTAAGGAAAATGACCGAGTCCGACTCCTGGAATTTAATGATTCGACTCCCTCATATATATATTGTTATGAAATGTATAGGCACGGTAAGATGGCTTCCCCGCAAAGCAGCTTTAGGGTTGCCATAAAATGGCAAAAGAATGCAGGGTTGCCACATTTGGCAAGAAATCGTCCAGTTGGCAACAAAATTGGCGATATGCTATGGATAGATAGAGAACCTTCTGGAACGAATTCTTACTGGTTTATCCCAGAATGTTCTCGAACACAAGCCAAAAGCTATATAAATCCTGCTGGTCCGCAATCAATTAGTGTGGGCCTCGTCTAGCGAGCTGATAGTCAAGTCATTGGGCAAGTGTCTCGAAGTCTAGCGCTGAGGTGGTCGTCGAGTACATCAAATCTTTTAGTGCATCGTCGAGTTTTGTCTTAGACTGTGCTGAGTCGAGAGCTATACTCTTGTGTATCGTCGAGTGCATTGTGTGGAGAGTCTTGAGAGTACGTGGAGTTCCGAGAACGACAGAGCAGAGTTGGGAGCTGTACTCTGGTGCTTTGCAGTGAAGCTGTCTCCACCATTATTGCATGACAGTGTGAAGGCTGTATCGCTGATTGTTCCAGCGTGTTTATAGTAGATCTTCGATGACTGTAAAAGTGTTTTGGAGCTGTCCTGATTAATATTGATAAATAAAGTGTGTTTCGGTACTTCATCAAGTGTCGTCGTTATTCACTCCAAATCTACAAACCCCGTACAAACGTGAGGGAAGAAAATAACGTAACAACTTGTATCAGAAAAGAAAAACACAACAGTATATTTTCGTATTTACGTATTTTTATCAATTATTGTTCATTGAACGGGAGTTGGTTTGTTCCCCTTGAAAAGTCAACTAATTTCCGATCAATGACAATGATTACATGTTTTAATTTTTCCTTTTACAATTGAAATTTATTCTCATGATGATTAACTCCAGTCCCGTTAAAAGTATTAACATTTTGTTTTCAAATTGCTTCAAATCTTTCAAATATAACTTACCAGTATGGATATACACTTTAAAATAATTCTACTTTAATTAAACTTAGGAGATATATAATCAATTATAAATACTGATTAGGAATAAATTATTATATGTAAACAATACACATGAGTTACAGCTTTTTTTTTAAATAAAAAAGTATATTATTTTTAATATAAAAAAGAATAGATGCTACAGGGAAAAAAAAAATATGGCATAGCAAATTATTTATATTAATTAGATTATATGAATAGAAAAACGGCAACAGTGATAGCTTGCAAGATATTTTGTCGAGGCCTATAGTCGATTTGATAACTTCAGAGCTGAGAAGAGTCTTTCCACATTACTTGATAGGAGAAGGCTGTTACTGTTAGGGCTACGTCTTTAAACTTTTCAGGATAGAAGTTTTAAAAGAGATGTGTTGCAAGTGCAATAATGTTTCTCTATTTCTTCTAAGGCCGTGTATAAATGCAGCGCACAATGAATGACGCATCGCTCAATGAACTTGAAGTTGATCTATCAGCACTATCCTTATCTTCAGGGCACATGCTTTTATTTTATTCTGCTTATAATTTGATATACTCTGTCTTTGATACGATTTAAATCAAATTCCTCGTCATTATAAATATCACGAATACACATCAAAAGTTTTTGGTTGCAATTTTCTAATTTCGATATGCGTAATGTATGCTTTATGCATGCGTGCGTTGAAAGAAATGTTTAATAAAGTAAACAAATAAATATTAAGCTATTTTTTGTAAATTTTGATGCCCTTTAGATCATAATTGCTCTTTGTTTCTTATTTTTAATTTTATAATTTCTGCATGCCATCTTACCAGATTTAAACTGATGATCTATAAACCGGAAAAAACGATAATCCGGACTCGTCGAAGTCTTGACGAATCCGGATTAAAGACTTTTGACTGTACCATTAATCAAATGTTTAATCCTTACATTTTTACTTTCTTTAAGTAAATGTAATAACCTAGTTTAGCATCCAAATATTTTGTAACACTATCGTTCGTTATAATGTCCCAAATATTTTCGACGAACTTAGGTTCAAGCTCTGAAACTAAATAATTAAATTTTGTTTCTTCTGAAATTATATTATTAATTTTGTACTGCACTTCAACTTGAAAAAAAAAAAAAAAACATATTTCTGGTGTATCAGCCCATAAAGACAGTATTTTTACAATCTCCTTATGAAGCTACGGTGACTGCATCGATTCTTTCTCGGTAGTTTCAGAAGTGTAATTTGTTGACATTTTGAAAATAAATCAGGGTCACCAAGATGTGGCCTTGGCTACTAATGTTCTAACTAAATTACGATTAAGAACAGCATAAATTACAAACAAATAGAAGTTTATTTTTCAGCTATCAAAATGAGAAGCTATTAGAATAATGTTCGGAAACCAAAGTAAACATGAATCAAAACTCGTTGCCATTCAGCATAAAGAAATATAAATATGGACTACTTGTTTACCATTCAGCATAAAAGGAATACAAAACAAAGTCTTTAATCCTGACTCGTCGAGACTTTGACGATTCCGGATTGGGGTTTTTTCCGGATTATAGATCATCAATTTAAATCTGGTAAGATGGCATGCAGAAATTATAAAATTAAAAATATGAAACCGTAATTTATGAAATAAAGAGCAATTATGATCTAAAGGGTATCAAAATTAAAAAAAAAAAGCTTAATATTTATTTGTTTACTTTATTAAACATTTCTTTCAATGTAAGTTGTTTAAGTTGCTTCATTTTTTGTGCTAATACTATGTCTTTAATTCTATAAATAGACATGACATAATTTCTTGTTCAGTTACAAAGTTTCACTGTTCAGGTCCTGTAATTTATCCATTTTTTGCAGCAATTCCACTTTTTGTTTGATGGACATAAAAAGACGGATCCAATTAGAAGAATAAGGAACAACACAATCTGCAACATTAACTGAAATAGATAATTAGATAATTTTAGCCTAGCTTATACCGTCCGTTATACATTAAACAGAGCATGCATAAATGTATTATGCGCATGCGTAAACGCTAGGCATGTGCAGAAAATTTGTAACTTTGAGGTCCGGATTATAGATCATTCCAGATTATGGACATCTAGATTAAAGACTTTGTATTATATAAATATAAATATGGACTACTTTTTACATTCAGCAAAAAAGAAATATAACTGAGAATATTAAAAAATGTTCAAGTAATTTTATAAAAATTAACACTGAAAAATCATACTTATAAAAAATAATTATTTCTCTGCGTAACTGGCTACTACATCATTCTTAACTTAAATTTGGCTTTTTTTAAAAATGATATTTCAAAAGTTTTATTTTTATATTGTGCTTTCTTAACTGAAAAGCAATTTTAAGAAAAGCTTGCAATTTATCCCTCCTGCCATCAAAGGTCTGATACCTACCAAATTCGTTAAAGTTACATGGACAGAAATGGTGGCCTGTGTTTCAGCTAAGTATTCAGGGTTATCATAATTTTTCATTAATCATGCCCAAAAGTCGCCAAAAAAATTTCTTGCCAAAAAGCACCAATACTAAATCTGCTGTGTATTTTAGTATTATCCTGTTATATAGGAATACATAACAGTAGGATTTTAGTAGGAATAATTTTTTTTTTTTTTTTTTTGGTCCAAGGATCTGGAGTGAATTAATGACGCACACAGAGGTTCCACTGTTATTGCCATGATCTGTACGATTCATCTTTGCAGAAGTCACATGTTAAAATTCAGAACATGCAAAAGCTGCCATATTGTTTCATTGTAGAAAGGAACCTTAAATTAGCAAGATATAATTGTCGTAGTAACAGTTGTAACATAAGTAAACAATTTTATTGCTGTTGCTGTGTATTTAAATAAATGTTGTTATAAAGCTCAAATTTTAAACCTTTTATATTATGTCTTGAATGTTTAGCTAAAATGTATAGAATGTGCAACAAAATAAATGGAATTTATCCTGTAATTCTGAATTTTACAGATTATGGGTATAAAGGAATGAGGAGAGGAAATATTTTTAATTGTATTTTTTTAAAAATTTAATTGATAAAAAATTTTAATGAAAATTTTTAAAAAAATAAAAGTACTAAGTGAAATTATAATAAAATTATATGTACTTAAATAAAAACATGGCTCTCTCATGAAAGATAAATTAATTAATATTTTGTGCATTAAAAAAATGTTTAAAATGAAAGTTAAGTCTTAGTGAAAGCTGGTTTTGAATTCACAGTTCTTTGTCCCGCAGTGTATTGAATGCTTGTGGATAAAGTCTTTGATTATTAAATAAGATTTAAGGTATACATGTATTAATCCATTGACTGTGAAAATTGGGTACCATCAAACTATCAAAGTTGCAGAAGTCGTTCCTGCGGAATTCCAATGAAATTGATCCCTCTTTTATTTAATAAACAATTGGCATTTGACCCACTTTGTTTTTGCACTTTGTTAAAAATGCTTTCATTGATTTCTGCTATTTTGTTAGATCATCTGGTTTTACCAAAAGCTCTGTTAAGAAAATCAGGTACTCTTATGTTATCAGGACCAGATTCAGAAATGAATGCATATGCACATGTATGTGTTCATGTATGCATGTGTATATGTATGTATGTGTGTGTACACATACATATATGCATGTGCATGCATACACACATTTCTGAATTTTTAACAGAAGAGTATTGAAAATTATGACATGCAGACTTTCCACTGGTCTTACTGTTCCATATTCAGTTGACTGGGCCATATTCAGTTGACTATATCATGTGTATTATTATTATTATTTTTTTTTTAATTGTAGGGTGTTTTAACCCTGAAAATAATCCACTGTTTACTGTTCTGTAGAAGGCAGATCCCAAATTTTTATCAATTTTCAAAATGCAAGAAAAACTGCAATAACTGCTAGTTTTATGTCCTTGTTTATTACAAGATTATTTATCCTTGTTGTTACAAGAAATTGGTTATTGAAAATAAGTCTGAGTTCCATCAGATGAAAGTGCACATGTTGTTGTATCATGCCTATACATAAATAAAGCTAAATCGTGTAGCTTGGTGAGTGTTTCCCATTCTGATGTGCATGATAGCAAAGGATTCAGATTTTTACATAAAAATATCATCATAATTTGGTGAATAGGTAATAATAATTTGCATTGCTTTTTCCACTAATAATGTAGCAGCCAGAACATGTGCAAGTATGTTAGTGATAGTACTATCATATTTTTAATCAGCAGGCATTGTGGGTCATAAATATCTGTTCCAGACATGATTCCGAATTCCAGACACTAAACTTTGATTCCAAATTGTTTTTTTTTATGAAGGAATTGAGATGGATTTTAAGGTATCTTAGCTGCCAAATTATGAAAAATTTGCCTTTAACAGCTCACGTACACGAGTTCTTAAATTCTTAAAAATTATGAATTGGCTCCTGATGTACAAAGTGATTGATTTCTTATTAAATGAAAAAACGGAAATGATTTATTTACAGTTTTTGAGAGTTTATTTCTGTGTTTTCTGTTAATAGGGCATCACTTAGTGTCAAACATAAACATTGGCATGAAATCTAACTAGATATTGGTAATTCTAATGATGCACAAAGCTTTATGGAAAGAATAAATGTGTTATATATAACAAATATAACTGCAGTATATAATGCTTAATGTTTGCAATAGCAAATCTCTGTGCAATGCCAAATCGTACAGTTCTCTCAGTAAGCGAAAACAGATCACTATTACATGGGGTGAATGAAACTTGTTTCATGTATACAGCAATGTGTTTTAGCTTAAAAACATCAAGGAATTACATAAATTTGCCATTTGGTACAAATTGGGTGAAGCCTGACTATCTGCATTTCAACACAAAAGCAGCTGCAAATCAAGGACAGAAAATTACTGGATTGATGTCCATTCCCCACTTGTTCATAATTATGCTGTTACAGACATGATGTAAACAAACTGCCACATTTGGCATTTTGATGTACACTTGACGAATAACACCTTGTTAACAGAAAAGCACCAAGAAGTGAAATACCACTATTAAATTGTTAGTTCTCATATAAAGTATTTAAAATATTTTAACTCGCTATTTTTTAAAAAAATTAGTTAATTTTTTAAAGACTGTAAAATAGCTATCGAACTTTTTTGATCATGCTGACTAATTAAGTTTATTAATCCTTTTAGATTACTGTGAAACAATTCAAGGAAAAAATATCACCTGTCTTGGTATGAAACTTTATTTATTTTTCTTAAATGAGTAAATAGATAAACAAAAAGAATAAATTGTAATTTGCTAAAAATAGTGAGTTATATGAATAAAAGCTTTATTCTGTGTTCCATTATTTTTTGCTTAGAACATATCAGTTGAGAAACAAAGGCTAATCTTCTGTGGAAAAGTTCTAAAAGATGAAAAGAAACTAAATGAATATGGTAGGTAATTGATTTCTTCCCCATAGGCTTAGCAATTTAAATGTATCCAAAATTTTGTATAAAATCTTAAATTTGAGGAATATTAATATGGCATTTAAAGCTGCATACATGCCTTCTGCTTATCTAAAGATGGCTAGATGTGTGAACAGATGTAATACAGTCAAAAGTCGTTAATCCAGACTCGTCGGGACTTCGGCGATTCTGGATTATCGATTTTTCCGGATTATAGATCATCAGTTTAAATTTGGTAAGATGGCATGCAGAAATTATAAAATTAAAAATATGAAATCGTAATTTATGAAATAAAGAACAATTATGATCTAAAGGGTATCAAAATTTACAAAAAAAAAAAAAAAAAAAAAAAAAAAAAAAAAAAAAAGCTTAATATTTATTTGTTTACTTTATTAAACATTTCTTTCAATGTAAGTTGTTTAAGTTGCTTCGTTTTATGTGATAATACTTTCTCTTTAATTCTATAAACAGACATAATTTCTTGTTCAGTTACAAAGTTCCGCTGTTCAAGTCCTATAATTGCTGTGTGGAGAATACTGACTAATTTGTCAATCAAAATTTTTTCGTTTTCAATAACCTCTGTGTCACTTTCTTCACTATCGGAAGCAAATTATAATGGCGAGGAATTTGATTTAAATCGTATCAAAGACGGAATACATCGAGATGAAATACTACATTTAGTAAGGAATTATAAGCCAAATAAAATGAAAACATCTGCCCTGAAGATAAGGATAGTGCTGACAGATCAACTTCCAATTCATGGTGCGGCACCCCCCCTTTTGGAATGGTTAGGTAATTTTTTGCAGCAATTCCACTTTTGTTTAATGGACTTCAAAACATACTTTTGCTTTCTAGATCCTTTACATATTAGTAAATATATATCGGAAATTCTATTTGACATAATCGAAAGTTCAGGCTTGCTTTTAAAAAATTGCTCTAACAGTCTGCAAAAATAATAAGCCGGATCCAATTCGAAGATTAACAACGCAATCTGCAACATTAACTGAATTAGATAATTTTAGCTTAGCTTATACCGTCCGTTATACATTAAACGCGCATACATAAACGTATTTTGCGCATGCGCACACGCATATTCGCAGCCATAAAGGTCTTACGCACATGCGTCAAAGAGACGCATGCGCAGAAAGTTGGTAGCTTTGAGGTCCGGATTAGAGATCATTCCGGATTGTGGGTGTCCGAATTAACGACTTTTGACTGTATATGTTTTTAATATTTCACAAGTCTTATAAGAAAAGTCATCCCATTATTTCCTTTTAATTCATTTTTAAAGTTATATTGTAAATTTCACAATTTTCCGTGCCCCACTTCCCCCCCCAAATAAACTTAGTCACTTAAAAATGAAAAAGTATATTTTTAAAGGCCATTATTTGGTTGGCTGTGTATGTATGAATAATTTAGTTTGAAAGATTTATATTTATAAATAATACTGTAGAAAGTACAAGTTAAAAACTCACAACTCTTTTTTTTTTTTTTTCTCCCGGGGAGGGGCTAGAATTTGGTTATATAATTATAATCCTGTTTGTTTTACTTAATAGTAATTAATGTTTTTCATCAGCTTTAAAATGAGTAAAAAAGCCAGGAATCCAACTGATGTACACTCACGTTTGTGAAAATTGCAACACCATGAAGGACATACGCGAGTGAGCTGAAATTTTCAGGAAATGCAAAGTAGCGCATGATATGCAAATGATTAGAATTGCAAATCCGTAGCGCATGCGTATGCTGAGCAGCGCTCTCTGAACGTCTGATGGATCCGAATAAATAGACGGCTGTAGCGAGGCGTGTATGGTTATCGGTGGTTATCTGCTAGTGGTAAACGTTAACTCAATCTGTACTTATGCCTCGTCGACGAAAGAGAGCGAGATTTGAACAACTTACAGAGTTTGAACGAGGGAGAATCATCGGCCTTCGTGAAGCTGGATTGTCATATCGTGCAGTAGCCTCTCGTGTGCAGCGTAACAGCAGCACAGTGATGCGCGTTTGGAAGCAGTGGACGGACGAGTGTCGGACAACTCGGAAATCCGGGAGTGGACCCCGAAATGTGACGTCAGCTCGCGATGATAGACACCTGGTCCGCATGGCGCGGACGGACCGTACAGCTTCCTCTAGACAATTGGCAGCACTGTGGTCAATAGCTACGGGTGTTTCATTGTGTGCTTCATCAATTCGTAGACGTCTGCTGCAGTGTGGACTGCGCGCACGGACTCCTTTATACAGGATCCCCCTAACGCACGACCATCGCCGCCTGCGGCTAAAATGGGCCAATCAGCATAGAGACTGGCGTGCTGATTGGCAGCATGTCGTGTTTTCTGACGAATCCCGCTTTAATTTGTGGTACCATGATGGCCGCATTCGTGTCAGACGCTATGCTGGTGAACGCCACCTTCCGGAGTGCATTATCAAACGCCACAGTGGACGAACACCCGGAGTTATGGTCTGAGGCGCCATAGCATATCATAGACGATCTCAATTGCTACGAATTGTGGGCAATCTGAACAGCAACCGGTATATCCGTGAAGTTCTACAGCCCGAAGCTGTTCCCTTCCTTCAAAGCTTGCCAGGCGCTGTATTTCAACAGGACAATGCCCGCCCTCATACTGCTCGGATTGTTAAATCCTTCTTTGCAGCGCAGCAGGTACAGCTTCTTCCTTAGCCTGCGTGTTCCCCGGATATGTCGCCAATTGAACATGTGTGGGATGTCATTGGTCGGCGTCTTGCTTGTGATCCTCGTCCTGTTGCGTCTGCAGACGAACTTTGGGTACGCGTACAAACGATATGGAATGCTCTTCCTCAGTCAGACATTCAAACTTTGTTTGACTCCATGCCACGTCGTGTAGCAGCACTTATTGCGGCGCGTGGTGGCCACACAAAATACTGATTCTGATCTCTTGTTCTTGTTTGTTTGCTTTGAACATTTAATCATTTATTTGTACCACTACCACTCAACTGTGTATTAAATTGCATTCAATTATGACGATTCCTTCTTGGTGTTGCAATTTTCACAAACGTGAGTGTATGTTGAGTAGTGCTGAATAGTGTCTTTTAAACAGATAGTTTGGATGAAAAGTATTAATTTGTGAAATCTGTTTAGACATGTTTCACTAATTTAAAATTAATGATTTAATCATTAAAAATTATTTCACGTAAATTTATTCATTTCACGTATTTCATATAATTATGTTGGGTACCTTATTGATGTAGTAATCCTTATACTTTCTGCACCCATGTTAAATACCTTAGTTCTGAAATAATTATTTCATATGGTAATTATAGGGTAAACAAAAAAGTTCTTCCTGGTCATGATTACTGAGAAAGATACATACAGTGTATGGTACTCAGTAATAGGTCTCAAATAATCTCCATAAGCAACCAGCATCCTTTGCCAATGTTCTTCCAGGTATGCAATGTCCTAGTGATAAAACTTGGGGATCTTGGATGCAGGCCTCATTGTCAAAGGAGTTCCCATTGAGATATTTGTCAAAAAAATTGAATAGGTAGCAAGTATAGTGGATAGCACAGTATCTCTCTTCCAATTGATTTAATAATATGTGTAGTTGTCCTTATCACATGTGGTCTTGCATTTTTGTGGTGGTACAGTATACCCTTGCAACTGACCAGTGCTGGCTCCTTTTACTGCAAATGCTGCAAGTATAGGTCTGTATTTGCTGTGGCCTGGTATTAATAACTTTAATGCACCACTAGGCAACTAGTTCAGCAGAAACAGTGCATGATCCTATGTGGGTGTGAAGATGGTTTTAAAGTGTGAGCTATCTGGGCGCCTGTGGGGACAACCATTGTCTGGTATGCTCGTGAGTGTCAAACTGGACCCACTTTTTATCACTCGTAAGCATTCTGTTACAGTGTTGAGACAGCAGTGACAAACAGGCTCTCACTCATTATTCCTTGTTCACAGTGTATGGGATGGTATTACATGCTCAACTTGCATATCTTCCCAGTGCAGTACAGGTAAAGTGTGTTTCCTTAGAAACTTAAAAGCATTTGACAGGTTCACTACATGTATGATTGCTGTCCTTCTGTTTGAATGCCTTCAATACATCATCCAATACCTCTGGTATTCCGTAGTGGATTTCATCGAGAAAACTCAAATTCTCGGACCTGAACTTCAAGAACTAATGCTTGGCAGTGGATTCATTCACAGCATCCTTTCTAAATGTCTCATGTATTTGATGTAGCTGTTGACAAGCCCACTGTAAAATCATACAGCAAATAACTGCAAACAAGCTGCTTTAATACTACCATTTCTCTTCAACAGTGGACGAGCTGTGATTGATGTAATTGGAGAACCTGCCTATATTAATGCAATCCAGTTAATACAATAATCCCTCCATCACTTTTCAGGAGCTTCGTTTCCTCTATGTGAGTGCTTTGTCAAATAGGATGTCAAAAATAGCAAGAATATTTTTTGGTTATCTTGTAGCTCTGCCATGTGACCATCGCAGTTAAAATATTTTTAACTCTGTTGATTGCTGCTGTATGTGTATTTTACAGGGTTGCCACGCTATGTGGAAAAACTGGGAAAAGTCAGGGAATTCGAAAATTGACTAACAAAGTCACGAAATTTGAATATTTTAGTCAAAATCTGGAAAATTCAGGGAATTTCATACACCAATCCCCCAAAAAGTGATTTTTACTTCAGTGGCCAATTTTCTTGGCGAATTATGTATTGTGTTAGTGTCATTCTGTGGCATAGAGTAATTTTGCAGCTCCAAGCAGCTTGTTTATTAGAAAAGCAAAGCAAGTTTACAGTAACCTCGAGAATCGAGAGATTCACATGCATATGTGCAGTGCATGTTGAACGAAAGAAAATTCCTTCTTATTATCATATATATTTAAAAAAGGGTTTTAATTTTATTATACAGTACATTTGGGATTTGGCAACATTATGATGAGCAGTAAACGAGTCATTTTGGTGTTGCCGACAATTTTCAAAATTGTGCTTAGGCCATATCGTGTACTAGGATTTTATCTCAAAATCTTTTAAACCTTTTTTTTTCTTTTTAATGAATGCCTTGTCATTTTGCAGTAAAATAAAAAGCAATCGGTCATCTAGCCTAACCATTTAATATGCTTATATTTTCGAAAATAACATTGATTATTGTAATTAAGTTTTTAATCTTTAAGTAACTTTATTTTAATGCTATTTGTATCATTTAATGTGGCTTCTTCTTTCTAAATTTATTTATTATTAGTTAATAATTCTTTCAGATTTCAGGCAGTTTTCTCTGGCATACTCCTGAAACTAGGTATGATGGCATACCGAAATTTAATGCACATAAAATTTTTTTCTTAGGTACGCTGCTAAGTAAATATAAAGTACCTGAATTTATTTTAAAATATCAATAAATAGATTTCATTCTTTCATTTAGCTGCAAAATGTCTGCCCCCCCCCGAAAAAAAAAACACTTTTAATCCAAATTGGGCAGTTTGTAATCACAAGCTTCAGTTGAGAAAACAACTCCTATTATAGTTATAATAGTAATGCGTTAGGGATAAGTCATATATACTTGGCAAATTTTTGTGTTTCTAAATGGTATCGTAATTAATTTATTCCTCGGAACAGCCAATTCTAACTGCGCAGATAGACTGGAATTTTTTTAAAACATACCTGGAAAAGTTGGGAAATTTCATTCTCCTGTTTGAGTGGCAACCCTGATTTTAGTATCTCCTGATCCATTGAGATTGATTTCAATTTAGTGAATATTATGACTGATTTTGAACAGTTCATTAAATTTTAATTTGTAAAATTTACTAAGTGTAAATTTTTATGTATTTGATTTTTAGATGTGAATGGAAAAGTTATTCATGTTGTACAAAGTTTACCTCCTCAAGGAAATAATTCATCATCATCTACCTCTTCTGCGAATTCCTCTGCGGGGGGATCTCGAACAGGTGGCCATCGTGATGCGGCTGGTTTCTTGCTTGGGGCATTTACAATTCCACAAGATCTTATTGATCCCACCCAAGTTCAGGTAAGTTTTCATGATATTCAGAATATTGAGTTAAATGTAATCTATCATTTTATTTCATAATTTTGATTGGTTGGAGATAAATATTGCATGGATTTAACTAATATTAAAAGAAATAAAAAATATTCAGGATAGGGAGTTGGGGAAAATCATTGATGTTTGCTTTAATTTGCTGTGCTTTCATCTTAAAAGTTTCATTAGAATGTAAGTAATTTTAAAGGGGAAAAAAAAGATCTTTTCCCCTAATTAACTCGTTACTTTTTTTAGCTGTTAAAAATATTTGTATATTTATTTTTTATGCGATGTAGAACTTTTGTAAAAAAAATTTCTATTGTTTGTTTGTTCTGTAAGAAAGGAGTGAAATTTTATCTTTTATGTGTACATTTAGAATTCTGATCTTTTTTAATATTCTCTCATTTAGCTTAGAAACTATGAACTGAAAAATCTGTCGAATTAATAATCTTTCAGCTTTCATTAGTTCTAAATTTTAAGAGTTAAGAAATGTCTTTTGTATGGAATGTATGGAATCTAAAATCTCATTTTACAACACTTAATAGATTACGGATATTGGAACTAGAAAGGGTCAAAATGGCATATTTTCTGTAGAACTATGTATGTATTTAATTGTTAGTAGTATAGTATTAACAGTCAACTTATTGCGTTTATATTGGCTTATAGGCTGGTATGAAAAATTAAGGAAAAAAAAGATTTTTGTATATAATATTGCTCGTGGTGTTTCAAACTGAGACAAAACAAATCGGAACATTATCAAAATGTGTGAATATTGGAAATAAAGCAACTCTGACCAAGAAAAGAATCCAAAGGATGCACATGACCTTTATTCAAAAATGGATTCTGCATATACCATGACAGAACACTAATTTCTAAGCAATAGGTAAGAAAGCAAGAAAAATTGAGATGCTGAGCATGAGTTATGGTCACCTTTGCAATATGGGATGTACACTGTCTGTTCATGCTCATTACAAGATTGTCAGCAAGCTCTCTTGAAGAATAATGCCATATTCCTCTAGCAGCACTAATTGCGGCTGTTGAAATGTTGCTTGTACTTACTGTCAGACATGTTACATGTTGTCATTTGTATTGAGATCTAGGGACCATTCATATTATTAGCATTGTCCTTAATAAAGAAGAGCTCAAGGACTCCAACACCCACTAAAGTTGTATGTGAAGGATAAGAATTTTGATGCAATAGCAATGATCATTGTCTTAATGTTCTTCGAAGATTCATCAATTGGCCCAGTAGAATGGAAGATATAGAACAGTCCCCCCTTTTTTCTGCACAGTGTACATGTGTTAATACTTTATATTAAATCTCCTATAATCTATCAGAAAATATCTGTCATTAGTAAAAACTCGAATCAAATATGTACCTGAACTGTATCTTCTGTAAGTAATTTTTGTGGAATATTGGTGTAAATTTTGTTTGGCTAATCATCCATCTTTCCACTGTTTAGTTACTCTTAGCTCATGAACTTTGTTTTTATTGTTCTAGTTGGAGATTTCACAATGAAATTGCTATTGGGAAGAGTTGTAAATTTTATTCCAATTCCATTATTCTCTTTGCAGTGCTGCTGTATTGCACATTACTTTTTAAATGAACCTGAGTACTATAAAAGCCTAGTATTCAACTAACTGTAAAGTTCAAGTAACTAGAATATTTTAGAAATTTTGAAAATTTTTACCTTGGAAAAAATTAGTGAATGAGAGATTTGTTAATGCCATTATTGAGCTCATAACACTGTTAACAGGTATGCATTGTTGGCAGTGTGATTTACTGCCAGTAATTAAGCATGAAAACACAGTACAATGATAAGAAGTTCGTTTTGCTTTAATGTAAATTCAACTAATTCTTGATAAGCCAGTTTAATTTTTGTAATGAAGGGTGCATGTTCGGTTTTTTCCTTGCATTTCGAAAAAAATTAATATTTAGGACTGCATAAGTGGCGTATTTTCAAAATTAAAGGATCTGGAAATCAACAAAAGCAGCGATGCGTGACTTTGAAATGGGAAATAAACTGCCATGTAATGTGAAAAGTTATGAGTGATTTAAGCTTTTTAATATGGTAGTCCATAAGTTGTAACTCTTTATTATCTAACTAAATAAAGAATGATCTGCTCATTTAAACTTGTGCCGGAATAATTGGCGACATCTCCACCAACTTTCATGCTTGGCAGGGTTCCATAATCGCATCAGATGTTTTACTTTCATGTTTAAGACTTTAAGAAACATGTTAACTTTTATGGCTGAAATGCATTTTCCCCCCAAAATCTTGTATATAATTTTTAAATGGTATGGTTTTTATAATTCAAGTTGATAAAAAATAAGATTTTATAATTTTAGAGTGAAAATTTCCCCTATTGATTTAGAGTTTCTAATGTGAATTCCATTTTTAATGTGAACTGTCTGGAGTTTTCATGTATCCAGAATTTGCCATTTCCCAAACTTTCTGGATAGTAGAGCTTTTTCTTGGTATTTAACCTACGTAGGATGTTCTGAAGTTGTATCACAAATTTTCCAGAACAGTATTTACGAATATATATGTACTTTTTAACATAAATTGAAAAGAGGGGAAAAAAAAAAACTCTTAAGTAAGTCAAATCCTGAATTATCTCAATCCAAATCTCAACTCTGAGTGATTTTTTTAAATCTGTCAGATTCTTTAAATAAAACAAGAAAGGGAACGGTTGGAAGAAAAACACATTTACTTAAAAAATATTTCAGTAAAACAAAATTTGAAGTCTCTGTTTAAATAAGAAGTAATTTAAGAATATTTTTTTTAAATACATCTGTATTTATTAAAAAGCAGAAATTGAAATTTAAGAAATGAAATAAGCAATTAATTTTTGAATCTTTAGGTTCATTTTCTTAATTTAGTTGAACAAATATATTTAAGTAATATCTTAGATAACAATTAACAGTTTAAAATTCAGCTATTATGGCTGAATAATTTAAGGCAATAATTGGGAATCATATTTAAGATGCAGCATTTATATAACATCCCATAGGTTGTTAGACATGATGGAAGTATTTGCTGTAGATATCTATGTCTACAATTCACTGAGACAACTTAACAGTTTGTTTTGAAATTTTGGGGAAAGTGCAATGCCAGAATTTTGTATAATCTTTGAAAAATGAAATTTTATTGCAAATTCTAGATTTTGCCAAGTATCAACAAGAGTGTGGCCCTCAAGATCGTCATGAGATGATTTTGGTTATACAGATACCACTGAAATTGCAATAATTTAATTCTTTTTTCAGTGAACACTTCTATAACTCACTTCTATATATACCAATAAAAGTAAACTTTCCAAAAGTTAAAAAATTAAGGTATTTCTTTAGATTGCAATGGATTTATAAGGTAGAAAAATATTAAGATTCAACTTTTGTAAATTCAAATCTTAAATATTTGTGGAATCCGAGGATTGAGATGTCCCTTTCTTAAACAATATTTCCAGATCCAATCTCAGTAATCCATATTTTAGGGCAAGATTTTATTTTACTAGATTAGTCCTCTTATAATTGTATGAAAAAATCTAAATCATAATTCTTTATACAAAATTCTGAAAAATTTGGAAGCTTTTTAAAGCAAATTTTCTTTCTCAAATAACAATTTCTCCTCACACTTTTCACTTTCACTTTATGATAGTCCTTCCCAAAAAGTTGTGAATAAAAAATATGGAAAAATCAAGTGATCTGTTATTCAGTTTATTTTTTATTCAAATGAAAAGCTTTTTGTACTAACATACTAACAGAAAAGAATTGGCTGACTTTGGCGATAATACACAGAAGGATTGGATGACTTTGGCAATAATTTGATGTAGTTAGTTTTTCTTTATTTCCTGTGGAAAATGCTTGTTAGCTGCATCAAAATAGCTTTGAAGAATTTTTTAGCCTGAGCGACAACTTTCTGCTGCCACATGAACTCCACTAAGAACGGTTTCGAATGGTGTATTTACTTGTGTCGATATTTTGCGTATGAACTCCAGAATCACTTTGAAAAGCTCGAACCAGCTTTTTGAAATTCTTCTGTTTTATAGGTGCCCCAGGAGTTGGAATAAATGGTTGTTCCCTTTTTTGATATTTCCATAACTGTTCCAGTGTAGTATCAGCCATATTGAATTCTTCCTTGCAAAATTTTGTTGATATAATTTCCTTAGAGCTACAGTATGAATTTGATGGCAGTGTACTTGTTGCAAACTGGTTTCTGACTTGCATTCCCACTGATTGCATGTGTTTTAAACATCACCATGTACACTTTGATTGACTCGAATAAAACTTCGTTTTATGCAAATTGAAATATTGATGGTTATTTGGCAATATAAGAAACTAATAACTCATAACTCTAATAATTAATAAGAAACTAATAACTCTTGTAAGAAACTAATAGTATTACCTTCATTGTTTGGTAGATCTCATAGACTCATGATTGAACTATAAACTGCAAGCAAAAAACTCCAATTTTAAAACTGTGGCTTATAAGCGTGCTTAAAACTTAGTGATGTCATACAGTTGCAGTAGCAATTAATTTGTGTTATGGTACCAAATTGGGCCCCTATTTGCTCTTTATAGCAATCGTTTGAAATTTGTATATTGTGGAAGCAAAATTTCGGGAATGTAGATTAAGAGAAATAGGAGTTGTGTATTTGTATATTTACCTCCTTGTATGAAGTAAAGAAAGTATTGTACTCATGAAAACTTTCATTTATCGTATTTTAGTTGAAATATTCATTTTGGCAGACAGAAGAAATGAATTTTTTTTTTTCAAAATGGTTCATAAAGTGAATTTTTTGCGACATTTGTACGTATCTCACGTAACCCAAAACGATTAGCTGCAGAATGTTGAAATTTTGTATGCAGGACTGCTATAACATCTAGTTGTGCATTTCCCTTTTCTGAACCAATTAACAGTACCAAAATTGTATATATATATAAATAAAACCCACTCATAGCCCTTACGTGGTATAAAAGTTTTTACCCAGCTTTTAATTTCTCAATCATTGGCTTAAGTCGTACACTTCGAGCTACACAAGTGTTTTAAATGACATAAATATTCATGTTTTGTTAATGTCTAATGTAAAAAAAATTTTTTTTTGACAAATAATGAAATCTAACTTTTAATGCAATGTCCCAGTTATTAGACTTGTTGAGACATAAGGATTTTTTGGGAAGCAAGAGAGATTGAAAAATCAGAAATGCCTTCGCCAGGAATCGAACTACGGACCTCTGAAATACCAGCTCAGTGTGCTGACCACTACACCACGAAAGCACGCTAGGAAGGCGAGAGAAATACCTTACATACTCTCCCTTTTAAAGGGCGACTAAGGTTTTTAGGGGACCCAATCGCCAAATCCTGGGTGTGGAGAGTCATCATCTGCAACCCTTTTAGTTTGAGCGCCACTGTAGAGACATTAGGTATTTTTTTCGAAACACGAGAGATTGAAAAATTAGCAACGCCTTTGCCAGGAATCGAACCACCAGCCCACCATGAAATACTGAATGTGCTGACCACTACACCAGGAAGGCACGCGGGCAGGAGGAAGGTATTTCCAGGAAGGTGGGAGAAATACCTTACAGACTTACATTTGGGAAAGTTTTATACTCATTATGAAAAAATAAAATTGATGAAAATTGAATGGAATATTTAATTTCAAAATTTTCAGTTTTTGATGTCATTTTCAACTTGTCACAAGGGATCAGTGATCATTTGGAATAATTTGAGAAAATATGTTTAAAGAAGTGCAGCAAAAAATATGTATAATTTAATAGGCTGTACTAGGAAGTCTTGGTGTCCGCATCAGATTTTTATGTAAACTTACTAATGACATAGAAATACGATATTCTGATTTTACTTTTAAGCATTCCAAAAAATATGTTTCATTACTTTTTAAATGGTTTGTGAATGGAATTGCATCTTGTAGAAAATTCATTTTTGGTACTCGAAATTTCTTGAATCATAACATGCATCCTTCTGTCATAAAGTTTGGCCACCTCTGATATAAATAATGTGGTATGATATTTATAGTTATCTTCAAAATATTTTATTTTACTCATATTTTCATTTCTAAAAAGTAAAATTTCTGCTTAATTTAAAAAAAAAATGAATTTATTAAAAAGAAATCTTAGAAATACATAGCTGTAAGGAATAGTTTTCTTCTAATTTTTATGCAAGTCAGTTCTAAATACTTGGTGCATTTTTAAATCTTAATAGTGTGTTGTATTAAGATAATTTTTTTTTGAAATATGTAAAACTGTAACTGGTATCCAAATATTGTATAGCTGCAATAAATCTTGCTTGTAAACAAATAAATTAATATTTCACAGCTATCATTTGGTTTAATAAATTACTTTTTTCCCTCTGCTGTGATGAATATTTAATTTTGCCCTCTTTTACCTTATCTTACTACTTTTTTCATTTTACCTCTACTTTTAGAATATTGTTCAAGATGTTGTATCAGGAATGGGAGAAATTGGAAGAAATGCTACGGTTATGTCTAGAACATCTGTAAGTGTAAAATATTTGCTGTGTATATGTCAATGTTCTGTGAAATACAATTCCACACTGTATGTCCTGCCCCCCCCAAATCACTTTTGTGAATTAAAAAAGTCAAATTTAATTATTTCAATAAAATTAATTTTTGTTATTTGATTACAAAAATAACTTCGGTACTTTTCCATTTTGCCAACGCAGGCGATAAAAACGCCAATAATGGTACAACCAATGCCAAGTGGAATATCCTCACTGGTAACCTTTTATTTCTCGTTTTCTAAACAAGTCACAGCCATTTCTTATCAGATTGATTGTTTTCTTCAATGCAATTACATAGTACAATACAATTACATAGAATTTTTACCAGATAATTCAATTTTATGCCCTAAGGCCATTTGTGGGTAGTAATTAAGTCAGTTAGTATGTAATCACACCGCTCACCGGATGGCAAAAATATAGAAAAGGCAAATTCAAGGGTTAAATTCATCAATTCTAATGAGAATGCAACTAGCAAAGTAAAGCACTGAGGTTTTACATAATTTCTGAGTAAGCTATTCATATGAATTGAATTAATTCTTGCAAATTAAGATTTAACTTGAAATTAATGTAGAGAATTACTGAGAGAATTAGATTTTTGTAGCGTAGTTTACATGAGATGAGATCACTTGGGGTCACATGATATGAACTGGCGAATCAGGATGTTGTACCGTAAAAGTATAGTAAATTCTTAATTAATATCTTTTTACAGATTTATTGTCTTTATTTGTTGTGTTTTTTAAAATGTTTATACCTTATAAATAAAAAATTCTTAGAACTAACATTTGTCAGCATTTTTTTATGTGTATACTGTGGGTTGTCGCTTATGAAGTCTGTTTGGCGAGAATTGCGCCGACAAATCGGAAAACTACCATAATTTCCAATTTTGTTTTAAGCCTTTTCAAAACATTCTTCCCATATCGGTGGAGTGTACATAAAATAGGAAATCTAGTTTGTTGTTGGAGGATTCCAACATTAGCTTTCTTTTACCTTAGGCAAAATCTATTTTAATTATTATTATAAATTCTGATTTTTTTAAATTATGTAAATTTGAATTGCTGAAATACATTTAATAAATGTAGTTATCTAACATCAGGATATACATTATTCATCATGTTGTTTTGAATTGATATCAGAATCTTGATTCTTATTAGCTATCAATAACTGATTCTTAAACAGTATTCAAGTTTACTTCATGTGTGTTTTCAATCTTGTGACCTGTGGCTTCTCTCTTAATGTTCCCCAAAATTCATCAAAATACTGACTCTTAGATACTTTCAATTTTAACACATACTGTGCTTTCAGAATATGGTATGGGTTTTCAGAATTGGTATACATTTTAAAGATGTTATGGTAGTATTTGCTGATCTTTTGTTGTTATTTTCATTCATCCATTTTTTTCTCTTGCTTTTGTTAGACATTAATTATCACCAGATAACCTCATTTCCATTCATGTGTTCCTCATTCCGTTCATTCAATTAAACAAATGAACAAAACTATAAGATATAAGATTGGCATTCGTAGGAAGAATTTATTAATTTTCATTTTGCAAATGCCATTTAATTGAAGAATCTAAGTTATTAAATTTTTAATTAGAATTAAAGCTTCTTGCATTTATGATAATTATCCTTTCATGTTCTTTGAATTATAATCTGAAATTTTGTTGCTATGCAGTAATAGTTTTTATTCTTTTATGAAAATATATGTTTCTAAAGCAGCAACACATGCTTTAAAACTCTTTTATTGAGTAATTACTATTTATTGAGTATTACTTTTTTTAAACTTAAAATTTTTTCATACGATTTATGTAGTTGGCAGTTGTTGCTTGAAACAAGTAAGAGTTTAAAATCTGAAAATTTTTAATTCTCGTGGCTAAGCTTTTTCTGGAGTAGTTTTTAAGCATTTGTAGTTATCTTATAGCTTTTTAAAACTTAGTGTAAATTAAACAGTTCTAACCCCCCTCCCCCCAAAAAATGCAGTTCTAAAAATTTCCTGTTTTAGGAGGATGGTTCTTCTGTTGATGTTCATATAAACTTGGGACAAGTGCCATTGCAAAGTGAAGCTCAACTTCGAATGAATCGAGTCCAGACAATGCTTTTGAGAGCTAATCGCCTGCTTGAATCTTTAGAGGTAGAATTTAATTCTTTATTTGCCTTAAATTATTATGTTATTCTTTATTCATCTCTTTATTAGTATTTATTCTTTATTCTTATGACTATTTTCTGTTTGAAATATAAATTATAATAAAGAAAAAGGTTTTCTAAAATGTTGGTTATTTTGCATATGGAATTAATGTATTTGAATATACTAATAATTATTCATTTAATCTTTTAAAATGCAGGATGGGACTAGTTCTAATAACGGAGTTGTAGTGGATTCATCTTCACAAACTGACAACGAAAGTGAAGAAATACGCAATAGTCCCATGGAAGTTGAGTCAGAGAGTCCAACTGCGCCAGACAATGATGTAACAAATGGTACTTCTGAAGATTCTTCTATAAACAATGAGACAAACATTGATGATTCAACTGGATTACCTTCTGAAGTAAGTAATTTGATACAGATAGGATCTAATTCGTAGTATGTGCAGATGAATTAACTGTGTTGTGATTCATGCTATTATTATTATTTTGGTAGCAGAATATGCACTTTTTAATTAACGAAGATTATTAGAATTTACGCACATGGCTGGTAGATATTTTATTAAAAAATTTAAATAATTTAATATGTTTTAATGCAGTGGTTTTCAAACTTTTTTGCTGCTTGCACACCTTTCTCCATTGCTAGATGATCATTCCTTCCCTGTGCTCCCTTCCAAAATCCAAAAATTATGTGACATTTATTTAAATTTAGATTATTTTTCTTGTTCAGTTTATAAATGTTGATAAATATTAAAATTTGAATAAGAAATTTTTTTTTTTAAAAAAAATTCGTCAATTAAAACTAAATTCTTAACAGGTAAATAAAAGGCTGACTGCATTAGTGCCCTAAAGCTCCTTGGTTGAGAACCCTTGATTTAATGGGTGACAATGGCAAACTTTGTTTTGTTAAATTCTTAATTATCTCTTAACAAATGAAGCCTACATTTTGCTATTTGAGTAACCGAGCCAATTGTTGTTGGATTCTGAGTCCATTGACCCTGTTTTATAAAAGAGTTCACCCCATACAACATGTCAAGTTGCACTTACAAAGAAATATGTTGGTCCTGCTTTATAACAAAAAGCTCACCACTATGCTGAGATGAACTGGTAATTGCAGTTTGTATGATTTATGCTCATCATACAAATTGCAGTTACCAGTCTTGAGAGAAATATAATAATTTTCAAGCTATATTTGTTAAGAACTGAAACTGACTATTGTTGGTTCTTAGTCCATTGCTCCCATTGTATAATAAAATACTCATCCTTAACACAGTGATGAATTTAACCCTCTGAGTGTTATTACTGGCTTTGGTCATCAGAAGTTTTGTTACTTGGCATATAATAGCTTATAAGTTAAGATGTTTTGCTTCTTACTTTTTTTAATAATGTAAATATCATCTTAATGAATGTAAGTTTGTGAAAATACAGACTAAAATAAGTATTTATACATACTCATTTAATAAATGCTGTTTAAAAACCGGTCTTCATGACGGATCTAAAATCCTGCGCCACTCAGAGGGTTAAGGGGGAGGCATAAATACTTCCAAATCGCCATTATAGCTTGCTTACTGGAATTCAAAGATTACTTTTTTATATCTTATATTTGGCCACATACTACCCACTTCTGTCAAAAAAATAAACATTAAAGCAAATGTGAGGTAGTTTTCAGAATCAGTATGCATTCTACGTGTGAATTATTTTGAATGGATAGAAGTTCTAAATGTTCTTTAAAAATTTTCAGACAAATAGCTAAGGCAGGGGTCGCCAAAGTGGTCTCTATTTAACAAGAGTAGGGGTCGAATGGGGGTCTATTGGGACTTGAAAAACAGTTCTTAATACGCAAATCACACATATCTAACTGCATACGTAAAAATTTAAAATATTTTTATAATTGACTTATATTATATTCTTTATAGAAAATAAAATAATAAATCAGAAAACAATCTGCCCCCTTTTTTCCTTAGGGGTTTTCGTATGTATACTGTGAGTTCACAACTTGACCTTGTGACCAGTTTGTAATTTGCCACGACTCATAGTATGTAGCCAGAAAAGCGATTTTTCAAAAATTGCAACAATTAAAAAAAAAATAAGGCTTGGAAATATATACAAATCTCTTCAAAATTAAGCGACGATTTTAAACCGCTTTTGTTGATTGAACAAAGGGGAAAATCCTGATTGGATTATGCGCCATTTTGGCGGCAAAATGATAACGTCGACATCACATACAAGATGAGCTTGCTGAAACTATTGTCCGATCTTGAAGCAAAAACGCTTTTTAAAAATTTGAAATACGTTTTGGACTGATATAAATATAAAGCAAAAATAGTGAAAACGTTACGAATAGCTCAGCCATTTATGCTGGTGTTTCCAATTCTATATGGTTGAAAGCCGGTTTCAGTCAATTAATTCAAATTTTAAAATAAAAACAGAATAAAGTAAAATGTGGAGTTCGAGGGGATTTACGGTTTGACTAATTTCGAACTCAATATAGCTAACCTTGCCAAGAAACCCAGGCCACTCATTCATTAAGAAGTAAAAAATCTGGCTAATTACTTACTGTTTTGATTTATTAATGTTTTAGACTAAAGATAGTTTTTTTATTACCTGAAAATTACCTTTGTGGGGGTCTATGGAGATTTCGAAAAATTATATAGGGGGCGATGATCAAAAAAGTTTGGCGACCCCTGAGCTAAGGCAATGGTCTCAAACTGGAAGCCTTTGAAGCAATTTCATGTGGCCTATATTTTAATTTCTTCTGAAAATGAATAATGCAAAAGAAAATCTATTAATGGATCTAATTAATTTACAGTGTTGCAGTGAGATATATATCTTGTTGAATTTGTAGACACAGATTTTATTAATTTTTATTTGCACTTGTCAAGAATTAAATAGGCTTAGTTTCAGGTTTTCACACTGAGAATTATTGCTTTGTTTGGGAATACATTTGTGTCTGAATAGCTTTTTTTTCCACAGTTGAAAATTAATGAGAAAAGAACCTGCTTAATTGATTAGCATTTGCAATCTGTGATGAAGATAGCTTCCAGTAATTTCCTCTCCAAGGCTTAAAACTTTATCAGTCAAATCAAAATATCATCAAGTGTAGAACTGTTGTAAGAATAAAGAAATTTATAATTATTTACATTCATACATATGTAATTTTATGTATGCCTCCAATAAAAATCTCTAAATAAATAAGAGTTAGATACTAAATTATCATTTATTTATTACAAATAGTTATTATTTATGTACAAACATGCAATTTTAGTTATGCCTTGAAGAAAAATTTATTAAGAGATTAAATTCTTACTATTTATTCTCAAAGTTAGTCCCACATCCTGAATTTTAAAAGAAAATTTAGAAAAAGTAAAAATCTAATAAACAAATTATAAGAGAAAACTTTCTAAATTTTCTCTGAAAATTAAGAAAGTTTGCATAATTTTTGTATTTATAGTTTAAATTACAATAAGCTATTTAATGATTAGTTAAACATGTTAGAGTTATTTGAAAGAGATATCAGTGTAAGAAAATATTTACTTTTAGTATATTTGAATTAAAAAATTTAACCAACAAAAAAAGTCTTGGAACTAAACTTTTTTTTGTACTTAATACTTTTTCCCCCATTTACAATCCTATTGTTAAAGTATGTTTTAATAAATATACAGTAAGTGAAATTAAAAAAAAAATTTCTTTTTTTTGTTAATAAAATTTTCCATTTTATTTGAAAAAAATTCTACCGCATCAGCTGTTTTTAGATTGTGCATTCAGCCTGCATGCAATATGCAATTTGAGTTTGAGACCACCGAGCTAGGTATATTAATATATTCTGAAACAGCATATGCTGTGGAAAAACTAGTGCTATTCTTCATGTCATGCTACAATGGTATTAGCATTGTTTTTATTCTTACATTTATTCTTATAAAAAATGTTTGGCTAATTCAACAATTCATTTTCTTCAAAAAGACCAATTATTCATCGCACGATATATAGTGTCAGTGGATCTTATCTACATTTCTTCAGATGCTAAAGTTCAATAATTTTGGCAACAAGATTGTAACTTTTTAAATAATAGTTTCTTAAGTTAGGCACAATTATTGATAATGGCATAATCAACTTTTTATGTCAGTATTAAAATTTTAAAGTATTATTTAAAAGTATCTAGCTAACAGAAGACAACTATGATTATGTAGGGTGTTCCCAAATTCAGCTGAAAAATTCTAAAGGGTTGGTAGTAGGCATCAAGAGGGTTTGTGAGCTACGTTTAGTCGTGGAAATTTACAAAGATAGATGTTGAGAAAACACTGAGCCTGAAGAACAGAGTGGCCCAACAGATACAAGGATTAGAAGGACTGCAGTTGAGAAGAAGAAAACTTTCCACATGCAAATTTCAAAGCATGTGGATAAAATAATAGCAGCAAGCAAGTATTCATTAGTGAGTATTGGGAAATACTTGGGTGTTAAACTTCATTTGGAAATAACATGTCAGATTACACAAATGAGGAATATGCAGATATGCATCCGATTTATGCCGAGCATTTGACACTGGACACTAGCACAGAGGATGTACCAACAGCATTATTTGAGGAGACATTGTCTGCACCCATACCACTTCGTGAGCATCAATTGATGGCTATGGAAGGCAGGATCCTTCCAAATAACGAGGCGTAATGCTGGGTAAGAACCCAGTGTGGTCACACCTGAAATAGGAAAGTGAGTATTCTAAAAGTTTGCTGTTTCGCTATTGAGCAGTACAAGATGGGTTGCAGTTGAACTGGGTATTCAGCATAAAATCATGGGGGAAATTTCTGTGTGCAGAAAACTTGCACCCACATGCAGAAAGTCCAACTTCTAGGTGATGCCAATTACACCCTATGGATAGAGTTCGTATGCTGGATGGCACACAGAATGATTCAAAGTTTTCCACTACTGTTATATTCATAGATGAAGCTTGCTTTACAAGAGAAGGGATAGTCAACACGCGCTATTCTCGTATATTGTCGTCTAAAAGTCCCTACAGCACTGACTTGTTGAAAATGCAACACAAGTTCGGTATTAACAACTGGGCAGACATTCTCAGAGGTCTTGCAGGTTTATACCTTCTGCCCGAACACTTAAATGGCACAAATTACATTGTTTTCCTACAACACGTCCTCCTAGATTTGATGTATTGTGCACTAGCACATGTGGCTTATGCATGATGGTTCACCAGTACATTTTGGGACTGCGGTGCATATCCACCTCGATGCTACATATCTGGAGATGTGGATTGGATGCAGTGGACATGTAGCTACGCTGCCGTGCTCTCCGTACCATAATCAACTTGAGGAAATCTGTTTATCAGATGCCTGTGGATGATCTGACAGCACAGATCATTGTCACTTCAATAGACATTGCCAGCACACCTGGT